TTTTAAAATACATTCAAATATTTTCTTCAAGATTAAATTATTTCGTAGACTTGTAGAGAGGTTAAAAAATAGAGAAAAAACCTATTGATTTTTGTAAGTTTATTAGGTACTTATCTTGTATCATTAATCCTGAAGTCTGAACTAATTTATAAACAAGCGTTGTCCTTTTATGTACCTATACTATTATGTTTGGTAAAAGTACATTCGAATTATAAAATAAACCACTGTCATAACAAAAAATAAATTTGTTTTTATTATTTAACTTTTAAATTATTTGTCGTTCACTTGTGCAACTGGATCACGATTCCACTCTTCAGCTTCATTATTAATTGCCAACGTGCCACAACATTTTTTCCACAATAGTCAACGACTAGAGTATAAGCTTGTCTGAATAAAAAACGTTTTCGTAATAAATTATTGTTGATATTTTTAGTTTTTTTTAAATACAATCGTTTTTTATTTTTTATTGTTATCTGCACGCGACTATAAGCTGAAAGTATACATTTTGTCATATTTCCACTTCCACCCGAATGGGATTTTGATTTTAATGGTATCAATGTTTAACGGTAAAAATATAATACAGACATTTTTATAAGTAACAATACATTTATTATCATTAATCACATTAAAATATAATGAACGTTGTAAAAGTAGGAAATTATAATATTAGGAAATATTATTGTTTTAATTATAGTGTTACACTATTTACAACCTTATACATACATTATGGCTTTTAAGTCGATATGACTAATTTGAATTTTAATATTTTATAATAGCATAGCGTGGATATAAATTCAAATAAACCCGGAGCGATTTACGTTGATATAGTATTATTTGGTTACCTATACCTAATATTATTATGTACAATAACTTTCGGCTCATGCCACATAATATGCAGATTATGTCTACATAATATATAACACTAATGGAAACAGTGCAACGTATAGTCGTTCAATAGTTATGACCTTTCATAACTAAACGTATGAAGGATAGCGTAAACAATAAAATATCTTTGACTATAACCGTGTCAAGTACACGATAGGGATACGGATACCTGATACAGTTTGCCTGGTCGGGGCTCCCAAGGAGACTATAATATTATATGGTACGCGCCCGTTCATCATCTCGAACGGAATGTTTATGCATTTAGTTTTTACAAGGTGCTCTGAATATCTTATTTGAATCGGTTTAAATTACCATTTAACACGGGCAACATTAATTATCGGTTACTTCAGTACCTATATACTTATATTATAATCTCAAAACACACGAGGTATATGCGAATATATGATTAATAACTCAACAATGAGTTCGCGTGGCGTGAAGTCGAAATAAATCTGCGACATAAAAAATCTTGTATGTCATGCTGGTCGTCTTAGGATATATTATACAGAGTGATTCATCAAGCATGCTCACCCTCTTGTAATGCTTTTTTTTTAAATTCTGATTTTTAAATTTTTCACACACTAAAACATCATATTTTATACCATTTAAGAATAATCATGTGAGATGATTCAAATTTGTTTTTAAATGAGAACCACGCCCTTTTATATGAAGGCTGTAAATTGTATATATAAAATTGTAGGTAATTAGTAGCAATACATGAAAAGGTTGGAAAGTAGATACCGCGGCTCAACTGCACTTCAAGTGTTGTGAGGGTTACTTTAATAATGAACTTTGAATTCAATGATATAAAACCATTGTATATGAAAAACGATTCTGAGGGAAGACAGTCTGTCAGGCGTCAGCCTATATTATTAATTATATTTTATGATATTATTGCTAGTAAAGTAATTTATTTTACGGTTAGTAATACACTAGGTTTAATTATTTTTTCCGAAAACATTGCATTAGAAAATGTTATTATGTGTCTATAATATTATATTATACTTCAAAAGGTTCAAGTAGTTTTAGTACCCACGAATAACAATGTTAAATTACAATAAAATAACTAAAATTGTTATTTTTTGTTTAAATATCTAATTTTGTAAAAATTTGAACTTCAAAGATCTATAAAAAAGTTATTCAATATTTTTAAAATTTTTGGATTTCAGTAAAATACTCAATGAATTAAATTTAAGTGAAAAATTAAATTATCAGCGGCTATTCGTTTTTGAGTTACACCAGAAAACAAAATCAATTTTGTCACAAATTGGTTTTGAGCAAAATTGCCAGCTTTCAAATCTTTTTTTTGTTTTTCATTACGTTTATGAAAACTGCTGAGAATAGGTATTTTACTTTTGATCCCCCGAAGTACCAGATAAGTATTTTTATTGTTCCAAAAGGTGACGGCAGACAAATAAAAAAAAAACACATCATTGACCATTGTATTATTGTAAAATCAATACAACTTTGCTCCACTCAGTCTAAAATTCCAAAATTCAGAATAAATTCAGTGTACTAAAGGAAACAACGGAAAAGGGTGCTTGGCAAATCATTCTAATATATAATATACTGATGATATCAGAATTTGATGAATGAATACGCCATACAGTGTTAAGATTTTCATCAGTATTTGGGAATGAGGAGTCATTGATACGATTTAATTAAACAAATACCACAATAATTATTAATCGTCACTGCTTAAGTGCTAAATTTGTCAACTATAACAACAGACTTATTCTATTAAGTTTTAGTTAAATTATTTTTATACTTATTAGATTTGTTTCATACAATTTATAGGACACATTGTCATTTACCTGCGATGTTTGAAGTACCTATTAAAGAGGATTATTTTAATTTATAAAAACTTTAAAAACAAATGTTTTACGTTTTAGTTAATTTAAAGAATTCATTACAAAAACTTCAGCTGTATGATACCTTTTTTCATTTTCAAATGAATATTATTTAAGAATAATAATTATTGCTGGTATAAATTAGAGCTCGTGTTCACTAATGTTAAACACTTATTTATCCTTCACTGCACACGGTTAGTTATTATCGAGTACATATGAGTAAATCTACAATACATGTATAAATTCATTCAAAAATATTTTGCAATGACTAGTTTGTTGATGGCAATCATCTTCCTACGACTTACGAGCAAATTAAATTTCAAATATTACACATACTGTTTTCAGTAAACTATAATTAAATAATAAATAATGTTTACAATATGTTCTTGTTTTGCTACATAATAAATAATAACTTATACTATATTATTTTAATTGTATCTATTGTTAAAATATAATATGAAATATTAATATTAATAGATACACATGCTTATATAAGTTATCATTTATAAATTATAACCATAATATATCGTTTCATAAATATTCAGAAAAATAAAAATGATTCATCATGACGTAAATAATGTAAAACATAATTGTAAATAGGCAATAGCCAAGTAGATCATGTTCTGAGTTAAAAGTCAAAATTATAGTGTAGGTAATAAGTATGGCACATACATGGCACATTATTATAGTTAGGTAATATGAAAGTAATTAGGTATATATTATTCATTGAATGTGATAACACTCAACAGTTATTTTATCAATAAAAAGTTTTAATTATTGATGAAAAAAAGCTCAAACAAAATATAAATGCATGTTAATATTTAGTTATATATGTAAAACTATATTTTGTAAATATTAGAATACATTTAAATATAATAATATTAGAGGGCCTATGTTATAAACTGGTTTTGTTGCATTCATATCGATTATTATAATGATTAAAACATTCACCGCTGGCCATTTGTTATTTATTAGCCCAATTTATATAATTCCATTTAAAGTTCATTGACTTATTATTAATTACCTATACGTGCCTGTAGTTAAATTATGATCTTATACATTGAAGCGACCCTTATATGTGATCATAATTTTAGTTTAAAGTTTTTTTTTTTAAATTCAAAATTTTTTACTACACAATCTGTTACAGTTATATCAGAACAATGAAGAATAATAAAGAAATGAAAAAAGAAATGTTTCCTAGAATAAAGAATTCTCCAACTGGTGGAAGGTGGAACTTCAATGTATGTTTAAAGTTAACAATAATTCTGGTATAATTGTAATAAACATATTATGTAATAGTTCATAACAACAATATTTAAAAAAATATATTTTAATAATATGATAATTCTGTTTATGATATTAATTGTTTTATTGGTAATCGTAGTGCAAACTATGCTTGGTATTAAAAATTATGTTGTTCTTATGTTATTATGTTCGACTAAGGAATGACGTGAATTTATTTGTTTACATGGTTTAAGAACTCAAAAATTACCTTTTATAAAGCTGAATATTTGCTCTTTGCAATTACGTGCACTGAATTTATTCTGTTCATTGCCATATAACCGGAACTTCGTCTTATACTCCCTAGTTATGACTTATGACTGTTAAAAAACTGGTTAGAATGTGCAACATTAGTATATCATATAAGACATTTATTTTTAGATTTATTATAATTTTTTTGTTTTGTTTAGTTAAGGAAACTTAAACAAAATTAAATAATTTATCAAAGATGAAAATACAAAACTTAAATTATATATTTACTATAGTATACAGTTTTACTACCTGAACCATTTATTATAAAAACACATACAAATAAAAATATAGTACCATCACGATACCTATAATTTTATTATCTACAAGTCTGTATGTATTCAACTTATATAAACATTACACTTACTTCGATACTTGTTTTAGGTATACACCATAGTTATTTTCTTAACGTGTCTTCCGGAATCCATTTATTTTTTTATATAAATATATAATATAATTTGGAATAATTCAACATTGTACTATTTTGTAATGTGTATAAAAATATTGATTTAACTGTTACGTCAAGATACATAATAATAGTATACCGTTAAGCTTTGACTGAAAACATTAAGTAATAGTGAGGGCATTTTTATTGGAAAATTCCGTTAAACTCGATCGTCTGCAATGCCGTTTTCCTTGACTATAGTATGCGATTGTATTGTTTTGAACTAAACACAGTTATAGATGAGTCCAGTACGAGTACTTACCGTATGGACATCGTGTGTGCGATACGAAATGACGGACAGCAATATTATGTTGACAATATTCTTGATAACGTCTGTGTTGGCCGTTTCCAGCCAATCGAATTTTCAGTCGCAGCTATGGGTTACGAAAATTTTGTCCGATGCTTTGGACGAATACACGCCTGATGGAGGGATAGTGTGCAAACGTCATGGACTGGAGTATCGAAAAGGGTTGAGAGACCTTAAACTGTGGGCGACTCAAAGTAAGCTTATATTATATTAGTTTGATTATAATAATTTTATACAGTATGCGCTATACCAATAATTTACATTTTACAAAGAAAATTAAAATATCAAGCAAAGGAAGAATATTAATAAGATTTTGTATAATAAAAATGTACTTTATCCCCCCTCCCCCTCCCGAAAACAGTATATCAGCTACCTATTGCTCACAATGATGTAATTTTTCAATTTCAAATGTACTCATTGCTCTGTTTTCTATTATTATTAAATATTGAGTTCATACGTTCATTATTGATTATATTTGGTAGATAATTGCCTGTGTTTAAGTACCTACCCACGTAGAGTCTTATATGGCAACATACATGTTGTACGCATATGTTATATATTATTAATGCAAAATTAAAACATATTATAATTCCGGCAAATTATGTCTGGCCCAATAATTTGTATGTTGTCCTATAATCGATGTAGTTACTTGAACAAAACGTTTGAATAAATTATTATACAGGTATTATATTATTATATGGAGGGAGAAAAGATAATTTAAATAATGAAATGTTACATATTATTATATTGGATTATTTTCTTTGGCGAGACGGTGAGAATAATACTATAGATTCTATATATTCCCCGTATTAGGGCTTGATATATCGTTTAATATTCACAGTATTATGAATCAGAAGCTGTTTACACAGTAGCAAAGATTATTATTGTATAATATGGAGTTTTATATACTTGTATAGTTGTATAATACTACTGGATGGTAGAAGTAAAACTATATACAATTTGTAATCGTGTAATGAGTTCTTCCAATGAGTGTTCCTATTGATTTTCATTTATGGTACATGGCATAAATTCAACAAAAAATGAAAATATTATGTACTAAGGTATATTATGCTAAATGTTTAATTTTTGTACAGCGCTTATGGTTGGGAGTAGAAAACCCGAAAGCCCAATTCGCAGTGTTGGGTAGTAAGGTAGTTACACTTTTTAGTAACGTTAAGTACAGTGGAGTAGCCAGAATTATGAAATGGGGGGTGTTTAAGTATAGATTAAAACCAAGTTTTTACAGTCTTCGTAAATGAATAAATTTAGGATTCGGGACTTGACTTGTTGCACTAAAAACTATCAAAATATGTAGTCAAATTTTTCAAAATATGCTTAAATATATGCAGCTACATTTTTATATTATTTTTAAAAAATTCATAAAACATATTACAATTTTTGTAATAAAAAACTAAAAAATAAGTAGGTACCTATACATAAACATGATAAAAATAATTTAAACACGGGTATACAAATTTTAATATAGGTATATTGATACCATATAGGTACATATTGATTAATGATTAATATGATGGACGGAGGACACTATTGCATGTTTTGGACATTTTTAAACTATTGTGAAATAAAATTTGATATTTAAAAATGCTGGTATAAAATACTAGGTAATAAATAATGAATAATGAATAATGTGATATGCGAACACCGTGATAAACAAACACATATCTATACTGATATTCATTTATTCGTACAATCTAGAAACTAGATGTCGTTGATGTCAATTATAATTTTAACACAGTCTTGTCACAAAGAGACTTATAAAGTCTTACGTACCATATGCGAAAATAGAGCCAACCTTAGCCAACCTCCCCCAACAACTTTAACAGGCCTCCCAAATATTTACTAAATTTTATAATAGTATGGTTTTAGGCTTCGGCTTCCCCAAATCTCAAAATTAGCGCCTATTGTATACCTAACCAAACATAATATTTTTAAAGATATTTTTCAATGTTATCCAAATATGATTTTTCCCAACAATTATATGTACCTACATTTAAGTTAAAAAAATTCAAAATATGCACAAATATGCGAAAAATCGCTCAAATGTACAATTTTCCTACAATATGCAAATATCTGCAAATTCAAACTTCGTTTGATAAGACAAATTTATAACTTATCTAAAATAACCTACTACCATCACTACAATGAAACATGCAAGCAGTCCCGAACCCTATGAACAATATATTTATTAGGGGGGAAATGTCTACGCCACTGGTTAATTAACTTCGTTTTTATTATTTTCGGGTAACGCAACTACGCAAGAGTAATTAAGTTTATTATTTAGAAGTAACTTAGCAGAAGAACGGGTTACATTATACATTTATTTATTTTTTTTTGGTTGGGGAGGATTTATCCTGTTGCTACTTCACGACAGTCCTTCCCCTCGTATTCACATCAGAAAATTTAATTTAATTAATAATTTAATTAGGTATTTATGTAATTACAACATTTTCCCAGTATAATCTAACATAATTATATAAATAAACGATTTTGTCTTAATATTATTTTTAATTTAACTAATTTTAATCATCTATTACAGTCTATAAAGGAAGCAACTGATATAGTTTATACTTTATTTATTATTAGATCATATCTGATGAAATATGTATATCGACATACGGATAGACGGTCGTGTACCTACGGATTACTGCTAATAACATAAGAATAACGTCATTGTAACTAGGTAGTTACTTTTGAGTAAAAAATGTAACGTTAAGCATTACTTTTGTACTTGAGTAACTAACAAGTAATCTAGTTACCTATTTTATTTTGTAACTAGTAGCGTAACTTAGTTACTTTTAAAAACTAACTTACCCAACACTGCTAGTTCGGTCACCTATTTGGCAAAATAATTTATTTAGGCACCCTTAGGATTCTGTCATGACGAACGCTGTAGCCTGTAATTGTATCATTGTTAATGTTAAATCGTCTATTACCCATTTGAACATATTTATCGGTTTGTTTTGTTTTACTATTTATATAAAATATTTGTATTTTCAGTGTATGACGCGTCATCTAAATTTCCTACGGGGATCTTAGCTGGGAGATCTTTTGACTTTGGAAATTTTGACGAATGTTTAAAGACTGTGACTACTGGTTTGGAATTAAGTCCTCAATATTGTATTATCAGCATTCGTTTTTTACCTACTGCGAAATTGTATCCGAATTATAACAACATAACACCTTCTAATCTAAATCCAACAGACTCTGTGTGGGAATCTACTAAGGTTAGTTATACATGTATAGATTCCAACTTTAATATTTTATTCGATCAACTATATTCCTGCAGGCTGAAATAAATAAAATTATGTAATATGTAATCAAACTTATAATATTATAATAATTTTACAATATTTAGTACAAACAATTTTTATATTACCTATTTATTATTTGTTTACGTAATTTATATAGGTATCGATACCTATAATGATATTCAATTAGTATTAGCTAATTATATTGATTATTAATACCTGAATGGATAAAACAATATTACAATCCTTTAAGTATGAATGGTACTATAATAATTATAATTATTATATCATTGTACAATTGCAACACGCGTATCACTTAACATCTGAAATTGAATGAAAATGATTTTGCAAATCGAAATGATTCTACTTAAAACTATATAAATGGTTTTTTTTATGAATTAATAAATACGATTTCATTAATTCAATCATACATTTCATCATTGACCAATTTTTTAATAAAGTATAGGATACATTTTAACAACCAATATAGTCTTGATTTTTCACTAGTTATGTTATTAGTTGAATACATTCATTTGTTATTTAGAATGATACTGGTTTGATGAAAATGCAACGCAACGAAATCAATACAGCACTCTGTGTACCTTCGTCATGTTCAGATTCAGATATACAGACAACATTATCACCTAAAATAATTTCTGCATTTCATAAACATCAACTTACGACCACTGTTACTGTGAATTCAATTTATTGTACTACTCAACAGGAACTCCAACCACCAAAGTTATTGGGATATCGAATATTTTGGTAAAACATATTAAAAATCGTAAATTTGTAATTTAATAACCTTTTAAAAATATTAAACTGCAATTAGTGTTCTAATTTTATTTCTTAATCTAATTATAATTGTAAAATTACATAATATCAAATTTAAAAAAATATCAGTATTTATTTAATTCTCTAGAGCACTTTGAAGTTAATTTAAATCAATAGTTTTTACTGTAGGTAACTGATATAAAAAATATATAAATAATGATAAAACTAACCAAATTGTTATTTTAATATTGATATTGAATTGTATTTGGACTCTTTATCGACAATCTAAATGCAACACAATTCAAATAATTCATATTGTACAATGAAGTTATAAAATAACTTTTTAGTTCATAATAATTTTAATTGCAAATATTATTTTATATTATATTTTATTTTAATTTATTTAATAGGGGAGTCCTGTTACTTATTATATTATTGACTATCATCGGATCACTATGCGACATATACAAAGTGGAAGAAAATCAATATGATTACAGTGAGTAACGTAATGTGAAATTACAAAAATAATAATTTGTACCCTACGTGTGTGTAATACGATATTTTAGCATAGATGATTTGAATAATATTTTTAGAATCATTTTTTATGGCATTCTCATTTCCGGCTAACATAAAACGGTTATTTTTGGCCAGCAATAAAACCGAAAATCTATCTTGTATTGACATTTTAAAGACTCATGCATGCATTCTAATCATAGCTGGACAAAGAATGTTGCATAGTACTGGTCAGCCACTACAAAACCCTAAAAAGCTTGAAGAGGTATATATAGATACTTAATACTTACCTATATAATGCACGTACCTATAACCTATATGTACCATAATATTCATAATTCAAATAATTAAGTAGTAAGTAGTAATATAAATACAATAAACTACTTATGTTAACTACAATGACACTCAGATGTTTCTAGGTAGCCTTACATTTATCGTATGTTATGATTCGCAATGGATCATTGGTTGTCGATTTCTTTTTCGTTATCAGCGGTTTCCTAACATTTTATTTTCTCTATGATGAGCTAGTCAACACAAAAATCATAAACGTACCATTACTCTTGCTTTGGAGATGGCTGAGGTAAGACTAAGATGCATATAAGAATATCATAACAATTTTATTACGTATTAAGCATTTTTAATGTTTGAAATTTTAATAGGCATTTGATGTTTATTTTTGAAAAGTTTAAGCTGTTTATAAATTAAATTTGTTGGGTTTTCAATAAATGCAATAAGGAAGTTGCTTTGATATTTGGGAATTTAACTATAGTATTACTATTATAGATACATTTTATTTAATTCACTTTCATGTGAGTCGATTTCCTAAGCCATAAACAATTTTCATCATTACATTATATCATACATCATAAATGTGTTTTTTTACAATGAAAAAATAATTACATTTTAAGGTTAAATTACAATTTTCCTATTCAATCAAATGTAGATATTTACCCATGTAACCATTTTATTTAAGATAATACTCCCTTAAATACGTAGTTTTTCAGTTGATACTATACTTTAAAACCAAGGATGCTTGTAAATTATAATTGTTTGGATTCCATACGTCTTTCAGATTAATGCCTGTGTACGGTTTAATGATAGCGTTTCATACATTTGTTTTATTACACTTGGCTGATGGTCCATTATGGAAAAAAATAGCTATTCAAGAATCAGATTACTGTCAAAATAGTTGGTGGAGCAATCTTCTGTTCATAAATAACTACGTACACGCCGACCGTCCAGTAAGAAAAATATTTTTTTTTAGTTAAAAAAAAAATGTTTTGAAGGCCTTACAATTTCCAGTGTATTATTCAATCGTGGTATTTGGCGTGTGATATGCAATTCTTCATCGCCGGTATCATACTTGTGTATTTTGTGTGGAAATACCAAAAGTATGGAGTCTACTTAATGTGGGCTACGATATTTCTGTCGTGTCTGATCCCGGCTTGTGTCGTATATACTCATCAGTTTTATCCAACATTTTTGAGTAATATTTCGTAAGTAACCGCTTATAATATCGCTGTATATTTTATTTTAAAATCAAATACCGATATATATTTTGTTATTAAATTGTAATTATTTTCAATTATCTCTATTGAATTGAAAATTGAAATAGTTTATTCCTCCACTCTTAAAAATGTAATGTATCATCGGTCAAAAATTCGAGGTAAATTATGATTAGATATTATTTTGTTTCACTAATAATATTGAGTTGATCGAATGCAAATATAGGTACCTACTATTGTTACACAACTAATAATCTTATCTTTTGTAGAAGGTGAGTTGAGAATTTTTATCGTGTTGCCTATACGTTTGCATATACGTCTCCTTAACAGCTTTTGACCTAAGAAAAGTTTAATTTATGTGTTTTATAAGTACGGTTTTATAATAATGAATTTTCTTTTTATTGTTCCTAAGCTCTGTGTATTATTATCTCTTGTCATTGGGTGTCTGCCAAGTGCACGTATTTATCTAATAAATAAACAATTTTACCATATTATATATTACGATAAATAAAAACAAGTAAACAAGATATGTAGGTACCTAGATTTGTTTCATCAACATTTAATTAGTGAAGAAAAAAAAAATTGCAAATACCGTGTTAAATGATGATGATATATCTTACCTGTATTGATCAACACATTAACGTTAAGTCGTTATGGTTACTTACACTATATTCATCCGATCGTTGGCTTAAAGTTTAAGCCATAAACCATTGAATTCCTATTTAGATTGAAAAGTTATAGGGAAGTACTTGGGTCGAATTATCGAAATATAAAAAAACCTTAATTACCCATTTTTTCACTTTAATAATTTATATCCTACATATTATACTATTGTATTTTTGCGTTTTTCAGGATCTTAAATTATCTACCAGATCACCAAAGTTACACAATGTTATATGTACCTAGTCACACAAGATCGACACCGTACTTCGTGGGTATATTTGCGGCATATGTGTACCGGTACTTGAAGCTCGATAAACCGAAGTTTCGTTTTCCGTATTCGAAAACTTTGATGACGATACTCATTACACTCTATCCATTATTTCTAATGACCATCCAAGTGTTTTACGTTCACGAATACAATTTATGGCTAAGCGTGATATACACGTTCATGTACCGAATGGTGTTCGCTACGATTGTCTCCATATTTATAATAATATCCGCCATAAATGGATTTTTTAAAGGTAAAATATCTTTTTAAAGGTTTAGCTTCTCAGTATCCTTTAATTAAAGTTTTTTTAAATAATGTTTTGTACATTTTTACTAACTTAAAACAGGGGTAGTATAGTTAACCTAAAATAATCTACAGTTGCTAGGTATCGAGATTCGAGTGTACCTCATCGATATTTAGGAGTAAGTTTTACTTATAAAATTAATGTGTTAAATTTTCTTTCAACCATTGAAGACGAGCGAACTGAGAAGATGGGTCTGTCGGTCTATATTATTTTTTTTTTTTAGTTAAGCTATTGGGTGGTTTTTTTTAAACTTTTGGGGAGGGAACAGTAGGTGTAGTTTTGGCAGATTTTCAAGTAGGTATCTGCCATGCCCGGTTGGGGGATGGTGGCACTCGTTCTCCGGACACAGTGACTTACCCGAAGAAAAATGCCGCCCTTGAACCTTTATGATATATTTATATCACAACTAAAGTAAATTATTTTACTTTATTTTATTTATTATTTATTATAATATACGGTAGGTTGAATTAGTTTTTTCCGAAAACATTGCATATTACAATTTTTTTTCATTGTGTGTATAAAAATTATATAAATACATTAAAAATGTCAAATATACTTAGATATATCTACTAATGTAAATTTTAAATTACAACAAAATAACTGAAATCGTTATTCTTTGTCTAAATGTTAAATAAAATGTCTATACAAAATATTTTGTTTATATACATTTAGATTTTTTAGGTTACAGTATTGAACAACTTATGAAGAACTTATGTATTACATTTTCAAGCCTATCAGCTATAAAAATTGAACATTTTATACATTTTTAACAACAAAATTATTTGCAAATTGTTGTGATTTTGACAAATTTTGTCATAATTTGAACTTCAAAGTTCAAATACTTATGAAAGAAAAAATCTTGACCATGTATCTTTAATATTTTTAAATATCTATAATAACTCCGATGAGTTTTTCACTTTCAAGCTTTATGACAAAGGGAAAAATATTTTATCAAAAAAATCAACTAAAAAAAATCGAAAATGTCTATAAATAGATCAAAAGAGTCAACATATTTTGAACATTTGATCTTTTACCTACCTTTTAAAATAAACATTTGGTAGAAATGTAAGGTAGTATTTAAGGTTTATTCGTTATTGAGTTAAGCCAAAAAAAATAATAGCAATGTCGTCGCAATTTGGTTTTTGTAAAAATTCCAATCTATCGTTAATTTAATTATGTCTTACCGGGTTATTTTGAAAAGTACTGGGAATTTAAATCTTTTGACCCTTTTCCCCAAAGTTGACAATTTTTACTTCCCCAAAAGGTTATGATAGACACAAAAATAAAAAACACACATCATCTGCTCAAAATCTAAAATTATTGTTCATAAGTAGTTAGAAAAATAGATATACCTAATAGGTAGGTCGTAGGTACATAGGTATTGAAACATTCAGCAATTTAAGTGTATTATAATTATAGGTTTGTGGATACGAATATTTATACCATTAAGTAAATTAACATATGGAGCATATTTGGGAGGGCTATCATTGCAATTACTTCAAGTAGCATCGATGAGATCACCAACATATTACAATGATAGTCTTTTGGTAAGTAATGAAATTAGTAAATAAAATGTTTTTGTTATGATATTTTCAATATTATTTGTGCTTAATATTTTAATATTATAAGTACAATTTAATAGTGATTGCCTACACAGTACACAGAAAATTAATAATTTTTAAGCTTACTTATTTATAATTGTATTTCCTATAGTTATGGTTAGCAATCGGAGATACAGTATTTGGATTCATACTTTCGTTTTTGTTGTATACTCTAATTGAATCACCATTCGATATATTATTAAAAAAATTGGTCATCATCATCAGCCCAAGTAAAATAATATATTTTAAAAATAATTATCTATGTAGTTATTTTATTAAGTTACCATAATAATATAACATAATATATTACCTTGTACCTGTTAAGTTGGTTTTAATATACCATATATTGCTAAGTTCTATACAGTATAACCTCCTTATAATAGACACCCTATAAGACGGAAATCTCCCTAGAACGGAAAATAACAACGTTCCCGAATAACCTATGAAGGTACCGTATATTTTAGTCTCCCTAGTCCCTATAACAGAAAAATGTTTTAAATTAAATATTAAAACATTTATTATAATTATTATGTTGCACAAGTATATAAATGCAACAAGTACAAGTATATGATATTACCTATAGAGCATAGGCTATATAATTACCTATGTTAAAATACATATTGTTATTTGGTGAATATTATTTCTTAACTTTACATTGGAGACAAATTGACAGTGTAATCATTAGATAACTGGTACCTATGGCGTTTTCACTGTTTGGATAAAATAGTTCCACTAGGTATTTGCTATTTACTATTTACCACTAAAATTTAAATATATTATACACAATAAATATTCAAATATGTAAGTACTAATAACTAATTATACATTTATACTTATTTAAATCTAACTTCACTTTAAGATTTTAGATTATTACACAGGTAAATTCGGTGGCATGCTCAGGAATTTTGGAAGGGGGGTTTGAAATTGTTTTCAAACAAAATATTTCTTAAATTTAGTGTTATAAATCTAGTTTAGCGCCAAAGTGAATTTTTCATTAAAATATTTTTTTCCGGTAACCCATGTATAGGTATATTAACCTGCAGTTATGAACGATGATGCAAAAATGAACAGTAGGAAATCATTAGTTATTATATGATATAAACTTACGAAGTTCACGACTTTCGGAGTCTTACGCAACTGTACAACGCTTATAGTTTAACGCGCTTAAGTATAACAAATTTTCCATTTTTTTTTAAATTTACGTAAACCAACGTTTTAAAAATTATGGTGCAAAAATTGTGTTTTTGATTTTGATTGCTCGAGCGCGACGCACCACGCCTAGGGTATATATGAAAATACCAAAAATGTCTTTTATTAACTTTAAAATAAGTCTGACCATCAAATTCAGGCTTCCCCATTGTTTTCAGCATGCTTAGCTACATATGTTAAAATTAAAATAAATTGAAAAAAAGGTTGTTCAGCGAAACAGAAAAGTTCCGAAAGCGAGGTAAAATATTCCGCTATGTACGAATGCGTATAATACCGAAAATCGTGAAGGATATAATTTAGAAACTAATGATTTTCTGCAATTAATTTTTGCAACATCGTCATCTTAACACGTAATATATAGGTTTTCGAAAAAAAATTGAAAAATTCCTGTGATTGCTAAACCAATAAATTATTTTAATTTATAATTATATCTAAGTACTTACATGTTTGTAAAGCGTTAATAGGGGGGTCGAACCTCCAAAATACCCCCCTTGAGCACGCTCATGAGTATAATGTATAATATGTTTGCATGTTATAGTAATACTATAGGTAAATAGGTTTAATATTTTACTATAGCTAAGTAATATAAGTACATGATTTAATTGAAATGGATTTTTGTTTTGCAGAAATAATTTTTAATAGTAAAACAATGACAGATTCTACAGTTCCCAGGAAAATAAGTCTTAGGACAATTCGGTCTAGCTAATGTGATGTAATTTAAATTACATTATTAAAGTCCCAACTGAAGACTCTTTCCTACCTATGTTTTTATTATTATGATTATTATTATTATTTTTTTTTTTTTTTATCAAAACAAATATAATACTTAATGTATATTAAGTGACCTACATAAATTGATATGAAATACTTTTTAGATAACTATAGTTTTAAGTTTTTAACATCGATCATAATTTATTTTAGTTAAATATAAATGTTTATGATTATTATATTCTTATTATTATTTGTAATTTTATAATACCTTCACAAACCCGTTTAAATTTTCCTACTTTTAGTTTCCAAAAATATACCTAATTTAACTTGTAGGCTGTAGCTAATTATAACTTATAAGCTTATGATTATTCAAATAAAAATCTAATTCCTTCAGAATTAATAATTTATTGGTATACAATACCTTATTGGTTATTAAATTATTTAAATTATCTAAGAAATTACTTAAAAAAAACATTATAAACACATCATAAATGTTGGTTAAACAATGTTTTAATTTGTTCGGTATTTTTTAAATTGTAAAATTACAGGTAAAATTCAGGTAAGATTTAAACACACATTTTTTTAATAATGATTAACTTTTGAAATTGTTGGAATTTCCTATAGTAGGTAAACATTATAAATTATAATATATGCGCAAACTCAAAATTCACATGTAAGTTATCGTTACTTCCAAATCTAAAATAAGTAAGATATTATACTATCCTGCAATCTGCATCGAGGCTAACGAAGTGAGAAGACTATAGACGAAGTTGTGCAACTGTCGTTATCTTAACCCCTAACTCCTAAGTCCTAATGGGATTTTATTCATATGGTTATGACTTATGAGTAAAATATTGAATTTGTGTTCTAAGATTGAAATTAAAATATAATCTGGTTATTCATTATAAAACATAATATTATATAGGTAAGTAGATAATTAGTGTTGCGCATTATTTATTTGAAATTGTCTGATTTCTATTGTATTTACAGCTTTTATTTTTTCACTGGTGGGGCTTACAGATAAAGTAAATATATATTATGTTTAAGATGTGTGAAAAATATTCTGATACTTTAAAAATGGAATACTTACGATAAACGTATTGTACAAAATTTTTGTAAATCAGTGTACCTATTATATGTGATATGTGTGTGTTTATTATTTTATTTTATTCAAATTACAAATTTTGAAATAATTTATATTATTTGGTATCACGATTATCTACATGTAAAATATAAAGGTCTAATTAAGTTAAACAAATTCAAAGGCTATAAAAAGGAGTTTATTTATGTCATAACAACCAACAAGAAATCAGAATTTAAATTGCAGGGCTCAACGCAAAGATATCGAGTGTTCTCAATTAGCGTTTACACACTGTAGATGCCGATATTTGTGTTAACACAAAAAGGTTTTGTTCATTAATGAATAACTCTTAATGAATAGTTTTTTTTATATAATATGTAATAACTAATAACTAATAAGGCTATTGAAAACTGGTTAGAATTGTAAATAATATGGAGATTTGATTTAAACACGTTTTGTAATAAACTATTACCTATGCTATAGAAGAAAGGTATTTTTTAATTTTTTAACTGTATTTTATTAGTCGATTAAAATTGGCGAAAGCTGAATTAAATTTATAAATGAACTAATTTAAATTTTATACTCAGGCGTTTAATAATGGTTTATATAAGAAAAAAACTCAATCACGTATCATTACTATAGTATAAAACATTACTGTCAAGTGTCAATTAGGTAATAATAACTTATAAGTAGAACAATTTCAAATAATATATGGTTTCATAATTTAAGGTTAAAAACAATGAAGACAATGGAGTTTATAAAAGATTGAGATTTTTTTTTATAGATTTAAACATTACAAATATTAATATACACATAATATCACACAAGTATGATGGCCTGTTGCCTGATGTCTAATTTAAAATAAATATTACAAATAATTCAATAATTATACCTAATTGGGTAAACTTCATTAAAAACAAATTACACTTATACGTTTATGCTATTCGCCTATTTCTAAGCTTTAAACATTTAATTACAATCTTACAGTCCTGGTTCCTACATACCTATTATAGTCGAAATTCAAAAGTAAAAATTGATTTTACCAAAAAAATATAAGGTTAACTATTTAATATACAAATATAAAATGTAGCAATTGTTGTATATACGTATCTCTTGAATTTTTTCATCCCACCATTTTTTTGACAAATTTATGAATATGTAAACTGCAGTTTTTGTGATAGCTAAGGAATGAAAATTGAATGGCCCGTTAAAAGTATTCATAGGCCAAAAAATAATTTTATCAAATTAAATTATGATTGATTTTTATTAGGTATTATTAATTATCTTTGTATTTATATTCTATAATCTATATTATGCTATAGTCTATAGAGTATAGGTATTGTAAAAAGCCGACTGGCGTTAATTCTAAAAAAAAAGGAAAATAAATAAATAATTATTCATGTAGATACCTACTGAAAGTTTCATCATATTTCACAATATAATAAATAGGCGTATGTAATTTGCGCCAAAAATAACCCTTCCAAAAAAATATATACGTAATTTGCGCCACTTTTTAAGGTTGTAGTTTTCGCTACACAAAACTTAATAAAAGGGCATTAAGTAATCTGCGTCATCGTAATTTTAATTTCAAAATTATTATTTGCGCCATTGTTCACCTTATTAAAATTGTGATTTGGGCCACTTTAAAATAAGTAAATAATCAGTTCGTTTTAATAGAAATAATCAGTTATATTATAATATTATAAATAAATGTATATAAATATACGTACTCTATGTATATTTAATAAATATATTCTTAATATTTTTGAGATTTATATCGGACTACTAAAAATATCATGATATTATACTGCTGTTCAATATTGTTCGATATTTTGACGATTGATATTTTTATTAGATTAAACGTAATCGATCTCGGCATCTCGCCTCTACTTATTATTAGAAGAACACAACAATATTATATCCGGCACGCGTTGGTATTATAGTATTTTCGATGCGATATCAGTAAATTTATCTGCTGGAAAATTCCAACAATTAAAGTTGAAAATGTGGCGCAGATTGGCATATTCCATTTCGTTTTCTGTCATGGCGCAAATTACCAAAATTAATTTTTAGAGGTGGCGCAAAATACATGTTTAATTTTTATATTTTGGCTCAAATTACAAAAAATGTAAAAATGTACAAATTACAAGTAATTAAATTGGCTCAAAATACTATCTCCCTAATAAATTATTTTAATGTTATAATGTTATATTCTTAATATTATTTTGTATTTGCGTGTTGTCTTGTACATTCATCTATATTCTATAAAGTAGGTATTAGGTAGGTATTTAATATTACATAGTGGAAATCGGACAAGGGTGTAAAATATTTATTTTTTGTGATAGCAATAATAGATACTTATCTAATTATAAGTTATAACTTAAACTACTAAGGCACGCTTGTTAAAGTCTCTCTTGTTGGGTGAACTCTTTACTCGACGAAACATATCCATTTTTCTTCATTACAGGTAACCTATCCCATTAATTTAATTTCTTTATACATAATTATTAATAAAATAAGAAATACTAATAAGAAAACTATATTAAGATGAATATATTATTCAATACAAATAGGAATGCAATGTATGAGTATACTGCATGAAAATGGTTGGATAATCAACTCGGACAGATGCTAAAAATATGGACATTTATGATTTCAACAGTTCGTCCATACAGTTCCATTCGTCTATTATCTTGTGAACACTCAATACAATATTACAATACCTATACCTATAACAGTTTCGATATGCGTTCATGTCGAAATTCAAACAGAAAATTACCGTCAATTAACTCGCGTCTGCACTCTGCATTACAAACGTTTACAGTGTGTTCATATACCTATTATATCATTAACACGCGATCAATGTCAAGTACGCAAACTTTTGTTCGAGATTGATATTTATGACGGTGCGTTTCGGTACGGATCACGAGTGTTTAATCATGCAGTCGGTGACAGTTCTAGTGTCGATATTAGCGATCGTCTCCGCAGAGTTGGAATATCAGCCACAACGATGGGTCACGAGAATACTGCACGACACGCTCGAAAGTTATGTCCCGGACGGAGGACCGACGTGCAAGCGAGATGGACAGGCATATCGCGAAGGACTGAAGGATCTCAAGCTATGGGCAACCCAAAGTGAGTCCAGGCCATAAAGCCAATATATTATAATCATATCTATATATAAATATATATATCATTTTTATATGATATATATTATATACATTAGGTATACCGTATTAGTATATAAAATGATTGTGCGTTGTCGTCATCAAAAAGTTAGATATTTTTCAAACAAAATTCTTGATAGCAAATACATTTTTACAATTTTTATCGTTATTAATTTTTAGTTTATTTTACTTTTTTGAATTACAACATACATTTTTAATTGCATATGACAAACAGAATTCAAAGTACCTACTTTGATACATGCAAATTGAATTTCTAACAAGTAGTTAATTTAGATATAAGCTATAACTAATTAACTACTTATTTGAACTTATAAGTTATAACTTACAAGTTATAAGTATTTAAAGATTTGATATGAGGGTGGTAGAGAGGTACATGGGCACTTACCCCTCAAAATGTTAACATACATATTAATATATTATGATACCTAGTATTTAATCGTCCCAATTGTTAGTTGTAGAACAATTTCTTTTTGCTAGGTATAATTAATCAAGAGACAACCTTGTCTATATTTGGAGTTGAAATCAGTGGCGTATTTACGGGGGGGGTCCCCGGGTCTGGACCCCCCCCAGAAAAAAATATAATATAATATAATTATTACATCGTAACTCGTATGTGTTTTTTTTATATTATAAACTTGTAGGTACCTAATATTTAGACCCCCCCCCCACAAAAAATTTCAAAATACGCCACTGGTTGGAATAAAATATTAAGTAGGTACCTACTAGGCACTACTTTTTAAATTGTAACTAGTTTATTTTTTTTAAACTGCTACTGAAGTTGGATGAATATATCTACGACTACAAGCTTTTGTCATGGGTATTTAACTGTTTGGAAATTTTACTGGTTAGTTACTTCTTTTTTTTAAAACTAGTTTCCATGTATTATTTTACTTTATCGTACACTCATAACTAAAATTCACACTCAATAATGATTTCTACACCTAGGTATTATATAATACCTACCTAGTATATTATTCTATAGTATATTATACTGTTAAAAGTACCTATAGTGAAACGGGATAATATTCATAATAATATAAATTAAATTGAGACTTAAAATATATATCAACAGTTCTTATACATTTCGGAAACTTATTATTATATTAATCAAGATTGTTTGATATAATAATTATATTTAATTGTGACTATTTGTAATAATTACCGATATACCTACCTATTGTCCAGTATCATAGTCCAATATCATTAAAAGTAAAACATTGCTAAATAAAATTATATAGTGGTAAATATAACTCGAAAAACTGAATTTCAATGTTTAAAAAAACGTACGAGTATAATAATTATAACCTTTAATATAAGCTCACTGTTAGTATATGTATTTGTAAGTTTCAAAAATGTTATTAGTGAAATTTAAATAATACAATAGACTGTGATTAAAAATATACGTATGGTACGTTTGCATTTTAGTTTTTAAGTACAATATGTTTATTTGTTTTTCCTTTTTAGTGTATGACGCTTCAGCAAAGTTTCCAACAGGCATATTATCTGGGAAATCAGTCGATTTCGGTGATTATGACGAATGTATGGAAACCAACACAAATAGTTTAGACTTTAAACCTCAGTACTGTATAGTAAACATACGTTTTTCACCGTCTGTTAAGCTGTATCCAAATTACTACAAAACCACTCAACTTAATATTTTAAACTCGTCAATTTCTGCGTGGGAAGCTGTAAAGGTAATATTATTACTAATATTGGTAGCCGGTAGGTATAATTCTGAGGTTCTGTTGCTGAAGTTCACCTTTCCGAGCGTGTTTCACGTCATTGTTCTTAATTTACTGTCATACATGTTACTTATTGTTTTATTTATGTATAACAGATTGTGGTATAAATATATTTTAATATTTTAATTGTAACAAAAACAATATTAGTGGGTATATACACTATACAGCCATACAGGGTCAGGGTGTAACAGGAAGACCTGGCATATGAAATAATTTTTGTTCTAATTTTTTGGGATAAATTCAAAATGGCCAGTTTGTGAATCTGATTATAAGAACAATTTTTACGGTCGAAACATTTATCTAAGTCAAGTAGTTTATTTTTTAAATTTCAATATATAATATATTTTTTTGATTAAATTAATTTGGAACGTAGGTAATAACTTTTTTTATAACATGATTTTGGGTATTTCCTGACATGAGTATATTTCATAAATTATTTACTAATCGTATAATTTAAAGAAATGTTTGTCATACGTTTGAATAGCATATTTTTTTTTTTTTGACAGGTCGTTCTGTATATGTATATTTTTTTTGTATAGTTATATCATGATTATCAATATCGATAGGTACAATACATAATATTAAATTTGTATTTTCTTTAAATAAAACAATCAATGCTATTTTAAATAGTGACAATTATTCAACGGTTAATAGGTAAATCTATAGACTATGTATAGATACTGCCACTTGGGTACCTATTGCACCCCGTCAAGAAATGTTACTAAATCAATCATTCATGTACTTACCTAATATTAAAGTATTTATGTATGCGTATACACAGCTAAATCCTAATCCGGCAAAGGTTCAGCGTAATGAAATCAACACTGCGATTTGTATTCCGTCCTCGTGCACCCATTCGGATCTACAGTCCACGTTGTCTCAGAAAATTATTTCTGCGTTTAACGAGGAAGAAATAAACACCACCGTAACAGTTGACTCACTGTTTTGCACCACACAACACGACAAACCACCTAAGACATTGGGATTCATAATTTTTTGGTAATGCGCATTAAGACATAGAAATCATAATACATAATATACCAATGCCATATTTAGTACTTACATTTAGATAACGTTGTATTACTTTAATGCCAAATACCAATGTTCTTACAGTATATTTAAAAATAACTAGTTTTCATAACTAATTTGTTTAGGTGTTTCATATTAGTTATTGTTGTATTTACAATTGTTGGAACACTACAAGATTTATATCCAAAGGAAGAGACTGAATCTAAGTGCAGTAAGTGCATATCGGCACAATATTAATTATCAATAAAAATTGTCCGTTTTATTATCACTATTAATATTTACAATATAAATATGTTTTTTTAGAACCTATCTTGGTAGCATTTTCAATTCAATCAAACCTCAAAAAGTTATTTTACAACAGTACTAAAACTGCGGAATTTGCTGGCTGTAACTTCCTTAAAATAATAGCTTGTCTAGTCGTTTTATTAGGACACCGGTTGATGTACATTAGTGCACAGCCAATTTATAATACCAACAAAATTGAAGAGGTAAATTGTATAGGTATTTTAATTAGGAGAATGATTTTTTATTTTATTTTTTTTGTATTTAGACTTTTGAAATGATGATTTATGGAGTAGTGCATAACGGACCATTGGTAGTAGATATTTTTCTTGCCATCTGTGGATTCCTAACTTTTGTTAATATGTACAGCGAATTAGTGAAGACCAAACAATTTAACATGCCACTTATAATATTTTGGAGATGGTGCAGGTAACAATGTATACCTACTAGTTACTAGTTTTTGTTGTAGGTACTTTATCTTGTATATGTAGGTCCTTATCATTTTATCAATTATCACTACAGGTACCTTACTGGTTAGTGGTTTTTGTTTTTATTTCTTACGATTAGTGCTCGTGGTTATTAGAAAATAGTGTTTTGAATATTGAAATTAGGTACCTAGATATAGATATATATTATTATAGCAAACATTATTGGGACTTTCAAATTTGATTTGAAAATACTTATAGGTGCCTACTTAAACCTAATATATAGGTAACTGCATAAAGTATGTAATATGTATGTAACTAAATAGGTATTAATTAAATACAAATTCAAAATGTTTAAAATATTTATTCAGTTTTGTAGTATACCTATAGATGTTTACTACAATGTTAAGAACAAAACATTGACTACAAAGTTAAGCCAGTCACTTGTATAAACATAGAAAATATGACGTCTAAGCCTTTGATAGATTTTCGACGAATAAATAATATATTGTTTTAAATACAATTTTATGAACGATATTATTATACCTAGTTTTGTTACATGGATGAATGGATGAATGGATGATACGGTTTAGGCAGCAGTCGAAATAAATGGTTTTGTTCGGGATGACGCGGGAATAAAATTCAAATTCAATTAACTGTTTTTTTTAACTGTTTTTTTTTACATTTCTATCGATTTTGTAAAATTTAATTTTCAATTATTTTCTAGTGGATTTAATAACTGAATGTCTAGTGTCTACTGTATTTATATTTTATATATCATGATTTAATTCTTGGATACAATTTGCTCTGAATAAATCAAATTATGGGTAGGTAGGTAGGTACATTTTAAAATAATAAAACCGTTACAGACTGATCCCTCTATACGGTGTGATGATCGCGTTTTATTCGTTCGTGTTAATACACCTTTCGGATGGTCCTTTATGGAAACATATGGCTGTTAAAGAGTCGGAAAACTGTCAACAAAATTGGTGGACCAACTTACTTTTTGTAAATAACTACGTCAATGCTGATCAACCAGTGAGTGCAGAAATATTACTTTTTAGTGATTATTATATAATTAAAACGATTTCACGCCAACAGTGTATGATTCAATCCTGGTATATGGCGTGCGACTTACATCTGTGCGCTGTGGGCATACTAATTGTGTACTTTGTTTGGAAATTTCCGAAGTGCGAAAAATTTGTCCTGATTATTGCAATAGTCGTATCGTGTTTCATTTCAGCGTATGTTGTGTACGACCACAAATTTTACCCGACGTTTTTTGGTTTCATTTCGTAAGTGTTACAATTGCTTCTAATTTAAATATTTAAAAAAAATGAATACTTTAAAACAAATTAGGAACCTAAGTACCTTAATTAACTTAAAATAATTTATATTTTATTGCAAATATTATAAAATATGTTTTTTAATTAAGGGCAAATAGGATAATGGACAAAATCTTTTTCAAGACTTATTGAAATATAGATTTATAAGATATAATAAATGTATATTGTAATTTATTGTATTCGTATTATAAAATACGATTGAGTATAAATTAGGTATGAAACCTACAACAAGATATCTCTAAAACTTGTAATTTTATTACTAAATTTTTTTTCGAAAAATTATCCAAACCTACCTATTGACTATTTTGCTTTGGCCATTGGCTGCTTTTTATCTTTAACTCACACAATTTTCAACAAACGTAATTATTTATTCATCCCAAGAAGATTGTCTCTTCAAATTGTCTATTAATTACTGACTTAACACTTTATAGATAGGATATATTGAGATACCTATTATACACAGCCACATATAGGTACTACTATAATAATAGTCTAAATATCATAGTCTTTGGTAGGTACCTAATTAGTAATTGAATATTCGGTATAATATGAGAAATAGTGAAATACGTATTATTTGGAGGGATGTTGATACCTCTAGCAATGGCAATAATATTATGCATCAACTTCCTAATCACGATTATGAATATAATATTTTTTCTTTCCAAAACCCGAACAAAACAAAGTTTATTTTTTATCACAGGAATTTGAAATACCCGCCGAGCCACGAAGATTTCACACTGCTGTACATACCCACGCACACTAGGGCGACGCCTTACTTCGTGGGAATGTTCGCTGGTCACATTTACAGGACCACGAGAGCCGGGAAGCCCGACTTCCGATTCCCGTACCCTACACTGTGTCTGTGGACGATCGTCGTCGGCTGTGTACTATGGATGATGTCCGTATTCTACTTTTTCGTACACGAGTACAGCATGTGGGCAAGCGTCTTGTACGCGCTCGTGTTCCGTCTCATATACTCTGCCATGATTTCGGCGTTCATCGTCGTTTCCGCCGTAAACACTTGTTTCACAGGTAGATACCCAATGGTTGACCAAATACTGATGACCCGTCCAAAAACCATTTATATATTATGCATTGTTATTAATTATTATCATACCTACCATATTACCATAATAATTGACCTCATATAAATAGGATCTTGGACATTAATACTCGCGCCATTGGGCAGACTCACGTACGGAGTGTATATAGGAGGGTTGTCAATACAATTGTTCTACGTGGCTTCTGCGCGTACTCAAATTTATTTCAATCAATTACTAATTGTAAGTAATATTACTCTACTACAGCGTACCTATATAATATTTTATAATATACAAGATATTTAATAATTAATAAATATAATTCGCCAAGCATGCTCATCATAGTCCCACGTTTGTTTCTGTTTTAATCAAATTGATGCTACCGAAACAACCAAGTTGAAAATCAAAGAATTTTTAAAGCTCTAAAAGTTGTCAAAAAAAACAAAAACATATCATTGTAAAATGATTAATGAATTCATCGCTCTGCTCGAAATATTTAAGTTATTTTTATTTCATACATTTTTTTCTATTTAAAACAGTTAAAATTAAAATAAATCTACAGTCTATTTTTAATTTTACTGTACGGCGCTTGTATATACTATATAGTTACACCTCAAAAATCCAGCTTCGAGATATAACCTAAATTTTCTTATAACTTTCCTTCAAAGTTCTTGACTATTAATCAAAGGTGTACATTTTTATTAATAGTCATGGGTCGTGATTGGTGATTCAGTTTTTGGATTTATCATTGCATTCATTTTGTACATGTTGATCGAGAGTCCATTTGAAAATCTATTGAAAATATTCATCAACAAAATAAAAGGAGGTAAAGATCAATTATTATTAGTTGTTTAGAGTATTTTAGTCTTTACTCTTTAGAAATGATTATAAGTTTTGAAAATTGACCATTATAATATCTAGGTATATGCCATTTCGAATTCAAGGTCAGTCATTGACTTTTAAATATTGTTTTGACAACATTATAACAGTGTTCAAATATATTATTCAAATATAATTTGGGATAGACTGTTACCAGTGATCATCAAAGTTATAATTTCAAATAATATTTACTTACAAAGTATTTTTGATAAATTTTTAGATACCTCGCTTATAAGTAGTTATTACTTATTATTTGTCCTTGTATAATATGATGTAAACCTAGTTTATACCACTAGTTTATCTTAAATAGTGGTTTATACTAATAAATTTGCATTTATTTGTACAAATTGATGAATATATATATTTTTGGGTTTAAATTATCTACTTACCTAGGTACATATAGGCTATAATTATAAGGTTTTCTACATTACTATGGCTGTACAAAGTGTATTTATTACCATCAAATTATTCTAATATCAGACTAGGAGTGTCACTATTTCAACTATATAATATATTAATATGTATGATGATAAAATTAAAAAAAAAAATTAATTACAATTTTTAATTCAGGAAAAAATAAAACTGAAGAAAGAATGCCCAACGCTATTGAAATGATACCACATGCCGGACATACAATAGAAATAAATAGTTAATATCAATTTATTAAATATATGTACCAGGTCACCAAGACATAAATTTAAAAATACTTAAAATTAAGACACAAAATGTTCCTATATAGATATTAGAATGTTATACACTAATACCTATTGTTTTATTATTTTTATATTTGTTTTGATTTTCTAGTTTATTTTATAATTTTTGTTATTGTCAAACTTCATCATTTTGTATTTACTTTACTTTAATATTTGTAAGTATAAAGTATGCACTCTCAGAATGTATACAATTTTTGTTTAGAATCTAAAAAGTACATAACACTATAACAGGCAGCAGTTAGAACTTTAAAAGTAATTAATTATTATAAATAATGGATTATAGATTCTGTCGATTCTGATGTTGCATTTTAGATCAGAATTGAAGATGTTTCATAGGATTTCATTATTGATATTTGGATTGGTTTTAATAATGTCTGCAGTTTTAATCTCAGGTTATCCATGCATCAATTTTTAAACATAATTGTTCTCTAGAAGGTGTAATACAACTTTATTATAAGACCAAATTATACATTTTATTTGTTTAAAATATCAGCAGGTATGCTATTTACACTATACAATATACATATTATTATATTATTTAAATTATCTACTGTGATACCTCAATTTACCAACACATGACCATCTTATTTTTAACTGTCTCAGCTGTAAATAAATACTTATGTTTACACATTTTCAATAAAAAAATTGTTGTTCTGGTCTTCTATAACGTTACTCATTTTTTCGTTCAAATGGATCAGTCCATTTGTTCATATCTAAAATAAAACATATGAATAAGGAATTTTATAAATTAATAAAATAATAATCAATAAAAAAAATGACATACTTCCAGCAGCTTCAGGCCTTATTCTAGATTGATCTAATTGTGCACGGTTTAGTTCTTGTGACTTTTCTAAAAAATTAATATACATTTAGACAAGTTATAAGAAAAAAGTCAAATAAAATTTCCCAAACATTCTTTAGGGAGGGAACTAGGTAATCCTTAATTTTACTCACTTCAGAGTAAAATAGTGGTTTATTATTAAATACAATGATAAAGCAATAGATTAAAAACAAATCTAAGTACAGCTTATATATGTTAGAATAATAGTGATGGACTATCTTTTAACAATTTTAATTCTTCATAAAAACAATTAATAGTTCAAGATTTTGAATATTTATATGATGACCAAAATTGAGAGTATATAGAAACTCTACAGTTATGTTGGCTGGAAAATTATGAAAAAAATTTAGAAATTGCAGAGTATTGTGTAATTTTGTGAATACTGTACTCATTTTATATTAAATTTCATTTGAAATTAATAATAATTAATATGTCGACACAGAGACATTAAAATATTTTTAAATCCATATAACTATACATTTAAACTATTATTTCTTTATTATTTAAATATTGAATTTGCTATACACCCGACAGCATCAAAGATCTATTAACATTAATTTGATAATGGTTGTAACTTGTAATTGTGTATAATACCTAAATTAAATTTGTATACCTATTATTATTTTACAAAGAAATCACTAAAATTTGTATAAAATCTGTACTAACTAATAATAATGGTAAAATTACATTATTATAAATTAAACTTACTATAATCTTCAACGTGCGTCATTGGATAAATAATGATTGGGTAAGTTGCTATTCCTATGCTGCCAACAAAAGCTGATAGGAATGCAACATATTTCCATCCTTTTAGCTGAGACATTCAAACTTAAAGTTACTCAAGTTATATTAGTTAAATTACTTAACTTTTTGGTAAAAAAGAAACTAAAACAATAAAATAATTAATATAGGTACCTAATATTATTAATTATTTGAAAAGAATATTTTAATACTATCTCATTGGATTATATTATCATTTATCAATTTAGTTTTGAAAAATAGATATTATAATCTTGATACTTTTGTTATCAAATTTTATAAAATTGCTACCAGCCACGACCACCACCTACTATGCAGATGTCTATACTCTATACTCTATAGTCATTTTATACCAGCACTGATTATATAAAATTAGTAGTTATATAGTACAAACGTTATTTTGAATTGTTTTATTGTTATATTTTATTATATTATATACATTTATTATTCTATTATAATTAAAATTTATAATATGACATATCTGTAGCTCCGAAGTCCAAAATTTTACCTATAAGCATGGTTGTAAATATAATAGTTATGAGATTAGACACATTTACATAAAATGTTGACACCGAACTAACATAAATTTTATTAAAAACATTTTATTCACCGACAATAATTGTCATAGGTAAATATATTTTTTGGCGACGCTGCCATAGTGGTAGTATTGTTGTGGAGGTAGCATAGACCTATAATAAGTTTATAAGTTTAGGGTGGTATAGTAGAAGAATGTGTTAAAAAAATTAACATTCAGTAGATCCTTATTTGTTTTTTTAGACCATTCTGCCCTTTTGCAACTTCTACCAAAGTATTCCAAACTTCTCGATCCTCTGAATCTACAATTATTAATCCATTTTTTGTCCAATTAAGTAATCTTCACTCAGTTCTTACTGGTTAGTGGTGCATAAGTAGACAATGTATTTATGTATAGCTTTTCCTCGGTATCTTGAAACAAGTTATAAGTACATTCAGTAGCGCCCAAGATATATTTTTCAGGTGTAGCAAGAAATAATTTTATCCACCCAACCACCCCCTCAAATAATAAAAATTATATTATTAATTAATACATTTTAACATATTTTAATTGATAATATTAGTAAATATTGAGGTATCAACCAATTTAATCTGTGATTAACAATGAACATATTTCAAGTTAATTATTTTATGTTATTATACCCACCCACCCCTTATTTTTAAGGTGAAGCGACTGCTACACCTAGGGTTGCCACCTTTGAAAGAAAGCAGCCCCGGAGACAGGCCGATAAGCAAAAAAAAAAAAAAAAAGGTCGTTTAGTCATAAATGTGGTCATTAATGAATTACTTTTCAAATTCTGTGTAGTTTTATAATATCGATGCACGGTTACACTGACAAAAATTAAAAGCAGATATTCGGATTCGATCAAACACACTCGACTGTGATGTTGAAACAGATTCGTAAAATCGTAATCGTAGACTCATAAAATCATAAACCGTAGTTCATAATCTTATTATTATTGTTATCTTGAATAAATGGTTTTTATACCGGAAACTAATAAAAAAAAAAGGCATAATAATAAAAAATTGTATGTTATCTTATCTTTATCTCCGACCCGGAGAATAATTCACTGAACCCGGAGCCCGTAGATTTATACATAAACCTGGATTCTCCGGGTGAAACCCGGAGAGGTGGCAACCCTAGCTACACCTAGTAACAGGGTTGGGCGCCACTGAGTACATTTATATAATATTATATTACAGACAAGGTTAAAGATATCAGCTCAATTGAGTCTCAATAGTTCAATAATTAGCAACAACAATCATTATAATTAATGTATAAAAATGTATTTACAGTTAGTTATATTCTAACAATTAAAATTATACAAAAACATATCTTAGCCATTAGTATTTAATATAGTACTTATTAACAACTAAGAAATCAAAAAATATAATTTTTCAATTCAATTTAAAAAAAACAAACTTATTTGGATTAATATTTATAAATTAACTGGTTATTGAGTTATTTTTTCCATTTTATACCTCTATAAGCTTTAAAATTCGACACTTTATCATCTAAATGATCATAGTTATATGATTTAAAACAAGATTCACACATATGATTTACAGTAAATGGGGTTCTTTCATCATCGTTCAGCATAACAATACTAGCAATATTTTTTATGCAAAAGATACAGTTCTTTAATTTGTCCTTTGCTACACTTATGACTCTTGGATAATTGGACTGACCAAGACAATCATTAGATTTAGCAATGTTGATTTCATTAAATATAAACAGATGTTCACAACGTCCTAAATGTTGGTAAACATAGGGTTGACCGATGCATACCTCCAAGTCTAAAAGTTGTGTATCCATTGATAATATATTTTGAATAGTGTGCCCATTACGACTAGCCCAACTTTTCATTGTTTCGGCATGCATCAATGTACTTCTATCAGGTAAAGAGTCGACATATAAATTGTTATTGATGTAAAATAATCCATGCTTCAAATCTGAGTTTGCTATGAATTCTAAAACAAAATAAATAATAATCGATTTTATTAAATTTTTATGTTTTTAATTCTATGTAAAGTACTGCGCACAGGCCAACTAGTAAAAAATTATAAGATAAGTACACTGAAATATATTTTTGTCATTATCTTTTACTATTGCCAAAAAACTTGCATGTACCTAATCCCTTTAAAGATATATTTAATGGTACTTTGAAGAGGTTATTTACAATCCATAAATTATTGAACCATCTATTGACCACTTATAACTTACATATCTATATAAAAACTCAGGAAGGATCTATAAATAAAAATAAAAATTTTGATTTACCTAATGGTTTATGAGGGTCTTTGCTTATATCGCCACTGATTTCACTTTCTTCATTTTCACATTTAAATCCTTGTTTCAATTCATAAAGAGTTTGTGTGTCATAAAATTGAAGTGTTTTTTGACAACGTGGAATAACAGCTTCATCAGGAACTTGATGTTGCGTCCAATGAAAAGGATAATAAATTGAAACTGTTATTAATAAAGTTTCACCTGGCAAAATATTTCCTCTTGGAGTAAAGCTGGGTAGAGGAGTATATAATTTAGTTCTCTTAGTCTGATAGAAATCACTTTTCATAACATTATGCGTTTGAAGTTCATTACTAATAGTGTCGTAGATAGGAAATACATAACGAGCACATAATGAATCTGGCGAATCAAAAATATCTTGAAAATTATATTTCTGTAATTCTTCATCCCATTTTTTTACCTCTACTGGTAAATCAGTTAAATCAATATCTGGATTAATTGATTTCAATTTTTCATATACTAGACGATCAGTGACTTTTGACATTTTAACTTGATCAACTTTATAAGCATTCTCAGTTCTAAATTGTCTTAGGTTAATGGGTTTAGAAATGTAACAACCAAGAAGTGAATCGCTGAACTCCATTGATACTGATGATTGATGTTATCCTACTTATTTATTCTGTAAAAATAAAGCATAAAAGGTTTCATTATTTTGAAAAAAATAAAATATCAATACTTAAAATGTTTAAATAAATATAGGTAGGTGTCATGGCTTATTCTTAATTATATTAAGAGGATGTAGAACCCACATGTGTGGTCTGTCTTACACAAGTACTTTATACCAAATTTTCCGTTCACCAATTGCAATGGTGTGCTGTTAGTTTTGATATTAATTATTATATTGAATTGACCTATTATAAAATGTATAGGTAAGATTATTATCTAGGGAGCGACGTAAGCTTTTATTGATATTATTTTTAAGTAAGTTATGATCTTTTTGAAACTGTACATTTTAAACTGATCATATCTTACTTAAAAATAATAATATCAGTAAAAGCCTATAAAGTACCCAGATAAAAATCTCACCTTTAAATTTTACAATAGTTCAATTCACTCTAATAACAAAACTAATAGCACACTATTTAAATTGGTGAACGAACATTTTCTATGTTGTACGTTTGTAAGACAGACAACATATGCGGGTACTACATCCTCTTAAACAGCATAATTTATAATTTATTTGTGATTATTTGATAATCATTTTTGTTGATCTACATACTCATTATTTGACAGAAATTCAATAGTCTTAAATTAAGGCATTAAGAGGACACCACACGAATATTTATTGTATCTGTCTTACAAGTTCGTAACAGCAAATTCACGTTCAGCAGATCACGTTTAGCTTCATTAGTTTAAATAGTATTATGGAACTTGATGGTAAGAATATTATCTGTCATCGTATGTTGGTTTTTTATGATTATTCAGTTTTTAGGTGAGTTATGAGCATTTTAAATTTACACTATATTGTGTACGCATAACTTGCTAAAAAATTGAAGTATCATAAAAAACCAACATACGAATGTTCTTAACATCAAGTTTCATAATAGGTCGATTAACTCTAATTCTTAAACTAACAGAGCTAAACTTGATCTGCTAAGAGTAACTTTTCTATGTTACGCACTTGTAAGACGGAGACACAAATATGTGGCGTCTTCTTAATGTACTTATAGTTTATATTTTAAATTCATCTAAAAATACAATTATGTACAATGTACTAAATATTAATATGTAATGCGTAGGTAGTTGATTTCTTTTTTCAAATGAACATAATAAATATACCTAGAATTCACAAATGTTAAACAGAGAACTATAATTACTGTAATCAATAGTACAATGCAGAGAGTTTATTAACTAACTTAACTAACTGTCTCACTTACTGCTTAGAAGTTAGAAAAAAATACTGTGTATACGATATGTAGTATTCATTAGAAGTTAGAATAGGACATTAGGTAAGACCGAAGTCCACGATCCAAGTATTCATCTGATTTTACTTAAAGATATGGCAAAATAAATAAATTAATAACCAAGTATATTGTATAACTATTAAAACAACTAAATTTAGTTTGAAAATTGTAAGCTTGTAATGCAAATATTCAACAAATAACAATGCGCGGTCGCGCGGTACTCTTTTCTATGAATAATGAATATGCCGTGATACGGCAATCACGGAACATGGCGTCAAGCTTTTATCATATGACTGTTCTATTGTTCTGTGGTTCTATGGTTGTATGATTTAACATGGTGTATCCATTCTTCTATTATCTATGAGTAAAATACAGTGATAATGTAATGAGAGCGCTAGTCGTTTATTCTTATCATCAGTTTATCACAGTTTATCGCAGTTTATCATGGATACTTCGGAAACCACATTTTATGTTCTTATCATAGCTTGTTACACAACCAGTATATCTTTATTCGTGCTAATAAGTAATAACTATAGGGTAGAGGACGTCTCGTAGCTCTAAAAATGCACTAAATATGCAAGCACTTATGGGCTTAAAACCCCTATAATATGCACTTAAAATATGCATTTAAAAAATTTGTCTACATTTTTTTTTAATCCTAATCGAATAAAAGCCCGCAATCCGCATTGTATGCACACGGCTCACTGTGGTGGTGATGTACTGATGTCGTATGATATACGACATTAGATCGTTTACGATTATCTATCTATTAATACAATTAATTACAGCAAATTATATTATTGGCTTATCGGCGATCCTCAAGCGCTTGTAGGTACTTTGTAGGAAAAACGTGTGCCCGCGGACAGTCAATATTATTATAAGACATTTTTTAAATTTGCATCCAAACATTTGGACTGTATTATTTTGAAAAAATTGATTTAAGTTAAATATGTCTCAAAAAGTATAAAATTGCTTATAAAAGTGTAAAATATGCCCTAAAAACCAAGAGTAAAAATATGAATTTATATGCAAAATAAAGCATGAAACGTATTTGTTTCATACTCTGCTATTTTTGTGATATAGCAAAACAAATATGCAAATGCTACAAGTCCTCTGCCCTAGTAATAACTAATACATCTATAGGTAGGTAGTTGAATTCATAGCACCACTTTTGTTGTAACTTGTAAATAAGCGAACAAAAATAATCTGTTTTGAGCAATAAACTATGAAGATGTATCAAATACATTGGCGTAACCATTATTTTTTTTCATGGGGGGGGGAGCTGATCATTTTTTACACTCTTACAGATTAAATACGTAGGTACTAGCAAAGATAGATAGCTGAACAGTATAAAACATATAGTTAATATAGTTCATTTTTAAATATTTTAAATACAATTTAAGACTTTTTGAGAGACTATCATAGACCATTAAAATAATTTTTTTATTTTCTTAAAATGTCGGGGGGGCTGCAGCCCCCTCAGCCCCTCCTCTGGCTACGCCACTGATAAAATGATTAGGAACAATATTGGTACCTATTTTGTTACTTTACCGGTCATACTTTTTTTTCAATTTTTTTTTAGGTTTATGTAGTTAACTTAACTGAAAACAATAGTGAAGTCAGAATTTAGCGGTCGGACTTAGTTTCGAAGTTATGGCCTAATGAAGTTCTATATTTTGCAGGATAGCAGGATAAATAGCAAAATTTTAAAATGTAATACAGGGTCAAGGAAAACAATATTATGTATTACCAGTGGCGTAAACTGGGTGGTTCAAATGCAGCACTTGCACCACCAACTCTAAAATGTGTTGGTGTAAAGGTATGTTTTCGCACCACCAGAAAATCATTGAAATATATAATATATAAAGAGGTACAAAAATACAAAATAGGTATTTTCGTGAATGTATTAGACAATAGACATTATCATTTAAATTATTATCCTATCTATATTCTAAAATATTGTACAACCCCCTTAAATAGTTAGATTATTATCTATGGTAACCACTAACCACAGAATTTTGTATTTTATTATGGCAGTATCACAGAATGTGACGTATAAGATGGTAAAATTATATTGTTATCAACATTCTACAAATTTAAAATGTAATAAATATCTTGTAGATAAAAATTTATAAAATATTCAACTTTTTTAGCTAAGGATTGAAAACTTAAAACAAGGTTCCACGTAAATAGGTTATACATAAATTACTTTATTCACAATAATATCATCAAATATAAATAAAATAATTAATAAATATACCATAAATATGGTAAAATCATAGGTTTACTAACCTTATTCGCTCAGAATAGTCTTTCTAATACAATGATATTATATCATTGAATTCAAATTTAACACCTTCCATTACTGTGACCCACTTGTAATCTACTGTACAGGCAGCAGAGTGACTCCCACTTTCCCAGCTTTTTTTATATTAATATTATAAGTATAACCTAGTATTTTACTGCTAAAATAATTCAAAATGTATTTATTATTTAAAGAAATATATGGGTAAATATATAGTTTTTTTTTGGGAAGGATTTTACTTAGAAAGTTGGATTATTGGTGTGTTGGAAACTTGGAAATTATAGGTTTAGAATATGCATCTGCACCACCAGAAATTTTACGCCACTGTGTATTACCATTGATTAAATATCAAATATTAAATATATTTAATCAATGGTATTACTATCACATAGGTGTACCTAATATTAAATTGTATTTACACAAAAATTTAATATTATATTTATTAGGCTTCTAAGCTTCTTCATCGATATATTCTTAAATATCGATATCGTTTTATTTTGTATGATATTGAATCGCGATATCGAAAAAAAATTCAGGTATTTTAATAATTATTAAATACCTATTAATAATACAATAAATGTAATTTTTTCTGCAAATATTAAATCAACACACCATTTTATTAGGTACACTATTGCAATATTACCACTATTACCAATAGCAAAATAAACGTAATATAAATATATTAACATAAAATATACTTCATAATAAAGGCTGACAGACCATCTTCGCTCGTATTCAATATTTCAATATATAGGCTTCGGCTGAGTTTTGGGGGCATAGCCCCCCCAATTTTCGCCTATGGTCTTAGGTAGGTACTCAATTACGAGGTGTACCTACTTGAGTACCTAGTTGAGTTCTTAACACTTGGGTATATTGACTGCTATTGAGTACAGCAGCTTTAGAGCGGTTACCTCGTTTTTCCATTTTTTTTATTTATGTTTTTAATTTAATTTAAATATTATTCCGTATTCAAAATAGATTACTGCGTAATGAATTGCGCATGACATTCTCATGAGATCACTGGTTTTGACAACTATACACAAATACACAACTTATAGTCAATTAGATTTTTTTTTGTTTCTTAAAATGAATATTTTGTCTGTATTACTGTATTAGCCCTTGTTTCTCTTCATGGTTTTAATACCGGTTATTTGTTAAAGTAAATTCACTAGGTAGGTACCTGTTTGGAATAACGGTAAAGTTGAAATTGATATCAAAATCAGAAAAAATAAATACCGGTATTCAAAAGAGATATTGAAAAAAATGTTTTCGGTTTGAAAATTGAAGCCTTGATTAAAATGGCCAAATTGATAATTACATGGTAGTGTACAATTAGTGTAATCATTTATTTTATATATTTTTATTTAATTTAGC